GTTTTGGACGACGGGTCTGTAGTGACTTGGGGCTGTGCCGACTGTGGGGGCGACAGCAGTGCTGTCAGATGTCAGTTTTAACGAGCGGTCGCTTTCCTTCCCATTATTTAAGTATGAAGTGCTTGGTCGCCCAAACTTTCATGCCGCACAGCTCCATGTTGCCACCAACTAGAGGGGCATGCTTTCTATCTTCCGAATTCAGCTATGGCAGGACCTCGTTCCCGCCTAATCTGGTGCATGTGCGAGGGTTCAAGGTCGTTCCCAAGGTTCCACCCGTGGTGGCACTTTTCTCGCTAACATGCCTAATGTGGCAGCTGCTTTTTGAATCTTCGATTAAAGCTTTCATCGTTCCACCCTTCGCAAGGCACGAGCCTATCTGAGGCAAGTGCACCTTCCGCTGATTGATCCTTACAGTTTGCAGATGGTTTCTGACGAACATTTCGCATGGCGCCCCGTTCCGAAGCTCCGTTTAACTCCGAGCGAAACGCCCACGACTGATGAATTACATGAGCTTCGTAAGTATTACTAGGTACGCTCGGAAGCAGACGGAGATCAAGTCCATGCAAGATTTGCTCATCCCAAACCATCCCACAAAGGTAGATGTGCTTCTGGAACACAGCAGGCAGGGCGCAAGACTACCTGATCTGCTGTCGCAGGTTGAAGCCCGCGCACAAGATCATATATTCAACCAAAGTTACATGTTCGGGTTGCCAGTCTCAGAGTGTAGCCGTGTAGAAACATGTGGGCTTCCGAGTTCCACAGGGATCATGAGCAGGGGGCATTGGCGAGCTGTACGATCACGCAGAGTGTTTGGACCGCACTGTGTAATCTTCCAATGTGTCTCGTCTTGTTTCGGAGGTGCCGCTCGAATGCATGCGCAAAATTGCCCTGATGCTGCAGCTGCCTCGAATCCTAAACCCCAAACCCTTTTCCCCCTAAATATACGTGAACCCGAAACCAGTCACAACCCGGAAAGCGCCCCAAACCCGCAACCTCCATCCAAGCTCGGAAACCCTACAACGATGCAAAAACCTATGCAAGCGAAATCGACATACCCTATAAAGCCTTACAAGCCCTACGAAAAACCTCCAGGTATCCCGGAAGTACCGGCGAATTCTGGAGTCTCTCTCGTCGATTGGCTGCCACATCGCTTGCTGCACGGTCTTGATCTCAGAAGCAGCCGTGTCGTGAACATCTACACGCATATATATATATATATATATATATTAATATATATATATATATATATATATATATATATGTATGTATGTATGTATGGAAGTACATACATATACACACATACTCATAGACATACATGTGTAGACACCTATGTACATATGTATGTATATGCAACCCTCTTTATCTGCGTGCACATATATACATAGAGTATTGCCAATGAATGCACATGCATGAAGGAAAGAGGCATGTGGGATGAAAGGATGAATGAATGAAGGAATGAGTGATTGAGTGTGAATGGCTGAATGAATGATTGCAAGAAAGAACGAAAGAACGAATGGATATATGGAATGGAGTGGAACGAAATGAAAAGCAACATGAAATGACTATGAATGAATGAATAACGCGAAATTATGTGTGCATGTATATATATATATATATATATATATGTACATGTATATATATATATATATATATATATATATATATATATATATATGTATATATATATGTATATATATATATATGTATATATATATATATATATATATATATGTATATATATATATGTATGTGTGTATGCATGTGTACTTATGTATAGGTGTGTAGGTATGTTATAATTGGATATGTATGTACGTTCGTATCCGTATGCATGTACGCACGTTTGCATGTGTGTTTGTGCGACCGCATCTTTATGCATATGTGTGCATGCATGTATGTTTGGTTGCTTGCTGTATGTATGTATGTATCTACGTATGAGCGTATTCATATGTATATGCATGTATGAATTCGATCTTGTATGCATGTCTTCTTGCATGCATGTATGTGTGGATGTGCGCATGTATGTACATACACACATGCAGCATCTGTTAAAGCACATACTCAATATGCGAAAGAACACGAGAAAGGCCTGACCAACTACTTGTTACTTAGTTTTTCGAGGCATTAGAGTATAATATGTGCTAATCGAGTATACATAAGTGCTATTCAGTCCCCCCCCCTTTGAAGTACGGTCGAAAGTCTAAGTTGTTTCTGCCTGGAGATCTGGAGACAGCCTCCTGCTGCTTCCAGCTCCTTTAATCGCGAAACCCTGATGCTATGGGCTTATAGCGCTTACAGTCCCGTTCGCACCACAAGCATTCATACACTGCATGGTCCGGTAGGGAGGCATGCGCAGTTTACTTGATTGTGTTGGGTCTATCCTTTGATCCCTTCCGCCATCGGCTAAGGTGTATGATGGTGTATGGAACGAAGCCATAGCACAATTATATACCACCATGACATAAGTCGCTACACAAGGCCGTTCAAAAGCCTGCGGAGACTTCCAAGTTCCATAAACGGTGGCAAACCCTCATGCCCAGAGAGCCCAATACCCCTTAATTAAGGGATATGGCTTAAATTATATGGGGCTTCATATTATGATTTAAGCTATATTCCTTAATTAAGGGGTATTGGGCTCTCTGGGTGAACTACCACCCGTCAACAAAAACTCCGGCAGACAACAGGGCTTTAGACATTTACATTTGTGGCATGGGCATCGTGGCATCGTTTTGGTCTCCACTAGCGCCTACGCGTCCCAAAACCTTAAGCGCAGATCCTTAACTAAACCCAGTGCGCAAATGTTGAAACGCCGGCAAACCCTCAACTCCTAAACCCTGTGCTGTTTGCTTCTGTGTCCAGAAGGCCACAGCTGTGTGAGACCAAAGGCCCTAGCATCGCCATGGGTACAATGGGCACTACGGTTGATCATTTATATCCTGCATTACCTTAATGACCCCAGACTATTGGAATTATGGTATACTCATGTTTTGAGTAATGCAGGAGTTATATCATCAACCGTATCACCTCTCAACAAGTCAAGAGGAGGTCGACAAGCTGGACCTCCTGAAGCCCTACTCCTCAAGTCTATGCCAAGCTCGAAACCCAAAACCTTTCAGCCCTTCAAGCCTGAACGCTTAAACTCTCAAACCCTGAGCCCTGAAACCCAGCAGAGGTTTACAAGCCGAACTTCCAGCATATCTTTCTCAAAGCCTTGGCGGGAGCCAGCCTTGGGTACGCCCTCACCCCGTCGGCTCGCTTGGGACTTCGCGCACAGTATAGGGACCTTAAGCACCAGAATAGGGTATAGTTTTCTTGTTTTTACAGTTGGGCCCAGAATTGGATCAGGGTTTTGGGGTATATTATATTGGAACCATAGTAAGGAGCTCCCCCTCCGCCCCCCAAGAGAGCATTGGTACATAAGACGTGGAGCTTTGGCATGAGGGTTCAGGGATTAGGTTAGTTGAACCCTAAGTAACATGCGTTTGTGGTGTTCTTTGTTTGGTTTTCCTTCCATAAGTCCTGACAATAGGTACTTCAGGGCCTGTGCTTAGGGATGTAGGGGTCATGGTTCAGGGTGTACGGCTTGGCGGTCTTAGCGGTTGGGGTTTTAAAGGTTACGGGCTCAGGGCTGTTCAGGGTGTAGGGTTCAGGTGCGGTTCTGTTTAGGAGTTGGACTGTAAGCTACCATACTTGCTACTGGGATCATATCGCGAAGTGGGTTTCGTTGCCAGAGATTGCCATCGAAGCCACTTTCTTGAGGAACCCAGTTTAGGGTCAGGGTCTTCTCTAAAGATCGGGTATCAAAGCATAACTCAGTTATTTGTCCCCTAGGTTTTGCGTTACAGGTACAGGTAATAACGCCCAACCATGAGTCATCAGTCTAAACCCTAAATCGGGGACCGTATAGGTTAAACCCTAAACCCTTGTAGGGAGTACGTTAGGGTAGGTTCGAAGTACCACCGAGCCCCAAGCAACTTGGGGGGGGAGGGGGGTCGGATTTCAGGTTCAGGCTCGAGGGTTGGGTGGGTGGGTGGTTTCTACTACCTAGAGGCTCCAAAGTAGTTCCTATTTAAAGTTCATATATAGAATCCTATAAGGTATTCCCAAAAAGGAACTACTATGGAGCCTATGGGTACTTCTATGTTCTAGATGAAGGAGCCTCATCGGGCTGTGCACAGATGTTTTGACTGACAGTCCCAGAGGGTCCACATATACTACTAGTAGGGCAGTATAGGCCCCAAAAGACCGTCCTTATTATGTATGGTTTTGGGACCTGAATCCATGGTAGCAGCATATATGGACCCTCTTGGAGTGTTTAGGGCTTTAGTTGGACCTTCATCCAACTAGCCCGAGTCTGGTACTTTTCAATTTGACCCCTCGGCCGCAGAATTCTTTGCCGCCCATCATGGCTTACCCAAAGGCCCCAAAGTAGATCCTTTTTGGGGTTCAAATTTAGAATTCTATAAAAAAGGAAGTACTACGGGGCCTATGCGTAGTGGGTGATTCTCAACTCCGAACCTATTCTAAACTCCGAACGTAGCAACAAGGAAGGTGCTGCCCCTAGGCCCAGTCGCAGTTCAGTTTTTTCTGGACTCGAGTTGGATTCGGATGTCGAGTTGTAAACTTACCCATAGGGTCCGAGTACCAACATAGTAGGTTCTTCGCAGATATATGGGCCTCCAAATGCCTCCAAAGTATATACGATGCTGCTACTTCGACCTGCAATCAGAATATAGCCTCTCATGAACTTTGAAGCAGACCCGATTTTATCCGAGCATACCAATTTCCAGCCAATCTCGAGGCGACTCTGTGGGTGTATATCGCAGGTTTAGGCTTTGGGGTACCAGGATGGGGGCTCTAGCATATATACTAGGATGCCCAGTACCCTTATTCCCTTTTTGTAGTCCTAGGTTCCTTATAAAGTTACCCATTACCAAAAGAAAGGCCTTTTCATTCTTAGGTTACTGGGTATTCTAGTATAGATACCATCGTCTTAGCAAGCCATGCGCGTGGTGGGCCTCATCAGCGGTGGCAAGGACGGGAAGACCTTAAACCCTAAACCCTAAACCCTAAACCCTAAGTTGTTCTGGTGATGTCTTGCCTGTGTGCGGGGTCTCCCAGTAGGCCCTTGCTCCCTTTTTGTGGTCTTAGGTTCCTTCTAACACTCACCGATAACAAAAGGGATTCCCTTTCTATCGCGCGGTTACTGGTCATCCTAGTTCCGGGTTTGCGGGTTTCGGGTTAGAGTTCGGGGTTTAGGGATGGAAATCCTCCCTCCCCGCATCACGGGGTTGAGAATATTTTGTTCAGATGTGGTGTTCGGATTTTCGGGTCAAGGATGAAAGGCTCGTGTTGTGATCAAAGAGTCAAGTTTGAGTTTTGATAAAATGGTTGTTCTTAGCCCTAACCTACCAAAGCCTACTTTTTGTAGGGCCCCTATCAAATCCATGACAGGATTTATAATAATTAAGAACCTACAAACAAGTAGGTTATGGTAGTTCAGGGAGGATCGAGGGCTCAGAACTTCGGATTTGCTGCAGGGCCCTCGACTTCTTACTTACAACGCGACAGGGTAGGTCTACCTGAGCCCGCCATAGGAGGCATTGTCAACGGATTGCGCCCAACATTCGGACACTTGGCGGTTGGAGAAACAAATGCATTGATTATTCTGATCTGCAGAGCAAGAGAGACTCTGCATATTCGAGCTCTTCAAGAGGCTTGAAGCTACGACTGAAGTTGAAACGCTGAATCCTATCCGCAAAACTTCCGCTAAACTCGAAGCCCTTCTCAACCGCCCGTCCGCAGGACTCCATTTGGAACTTGCACTACTGCAAACCTGCCATGTTTCAAGTCACTCAAGTCCTACCCGAAGGTTTGCTATGAAAGCCTGATTGAACAGGGTGCAGGGTTCAGGATTTAGGGTTTATTGTTTAAGTTTCAGAGTGTAGGGATGCGGGTTTGGGGTTTAGAGAGCCGGTCTTGAATCCGAACCCGAAACCATAGATTCCGCAGAAATCAGATACACTGATTCCCAGCTGATTGAAAAAATAAGTCTGTGGTCTCAAAGGATCCAGTTGGTCTAGCTTAGACGGGATCGACTATAGAGACGCCGAGAAATTGGCAATAGACCCTTGGGGTTTAGGGTTTAGGGTTTAGGGGTTTAGGGTTTAGGGCTCACACAAACTGTCCAGGCCCATACTCTGGTGTTCTTAGGATTATTTTCCACAGAAACCCTGTGGGATGACTGATAACATCATATGGGGGTTTCCGAAAATTAGGGGTACCTTATTCTGGGGTCCCTATAATAAGGATCTGACTATTGAGGGTACTATATGAGGGTCCCCTATTTTCGGAGACTCCCATATGTCTTCTGGTTCTAGCGGCACACGCATGTTAGATTGAGCCTTACAGGCTCAGCTCCTCAGGCAGCCCGTGACCTAAGCTGCTGGGAAAGCGATGTCCGCTCTGGAGCTTGAGGGTTTGTAAGGGCTTACTATAGGCGGCTTAGGGCTTCCGGGTTTAAGGTTTCCGGGTTTCTTGGTTTAGTGTGCTTGGAATTCGGGGATGACCGTTAAGGTATCGGAGCTTCGTGGCGGATTTGCAGCTCCATCTGTATCTCGTCTGTCCATCTCGCGCTTTGTCTGATTGATGCTGTCCTTGCCTCTGGCATGGTCCGCCGCCAGGCGAACAGTTCGGGCATGAGATCGTGTGCGTCGCAAACCTCGCCCCTCCGGCTGGGATTGCTGTGGGATGCCCAGTCAAAAGCCTTCAGTTCCAATTACCGGTTCGGTGTTCAGGGGTTTGGGGTTTTTTAGGCCAAGCTATACGTGGATCAAGCCGGAAATACATCAAAGGTTGAAGCCATCTACCGCATCGAATTGGGGTCCAGTGGCTTCGGTAGGTAGACAGAACTGCATCAGTTTAGGATTATGGTACCCTTAACGGAGGGCAGTGCAAGCGGGGAGGCATTAGGGATCCTTAGGGAACCGATGGGGGAGTTGGGGATTACCAAGCTTTATTATTCTTGAGGGTCCGAGTACTCACATTGTAAGGTTCTGGGTCCCAAAATTCATACTCTGAATGGTTTTTGGACCTTGAAACCCTATACTAACTACTTAGGTATTTGGACCCTCAGGGTAAGGATCCCGAAATAGGGATCTGTGAGTGGAAGTAAAGGCTTCGGTTTACAAAGCTTCCAGGTGGCTCGAAAGGATGTATCGTAACTGGCAGCTCTCTGCTCAAATGGCGCGTGGGCATGATAAGAAATAGGGGCCTAAATATTTTACCAGTATTCTTCTTAGGGCCCCTTATTATGATTATAGTAGAACCTACCCAAAAACCAGATTCTCACCGTCAAGGCCCTTACATTACACCTCAAGGTGCCTTCCGCCCACGAGATGTTATCTAGATGTCTGGAAGGGTCCATACACCCATATTCTTTAAGACCAAGTACATGAGTTTGTGGATTGGGACTCTACTTCAGTGAGGTTTAGGTTCTAACCCAACTCTCGACCCCGAATGATCTAGATGTGTAGGGTTGAGGAGAGCGACAATCCGAAACTGTTCGGGCTGGGTTTGTTGCTACTCCATCTCAGTGTGATGCGCTTGGCCAAGGGTTCCGTATTAATTTCTTTTCTGGTGGCAGCGTGCTGAATGTCAGTGATTGGGGTTTAGGTTTCGTAGCCTCACCCCGCAAGTCTGAAAACCCTAAATCTTGAATCCTGAACCTGAAACCCCAGAGCCTAAACCCTAAACCCTAAACCCCTAAACCCTAAACCCTAAAAACTCAGTCCTAGAGCCTAAATCCGAGCCCCTGTGCCACAGGAGCTGGATTCCTACATGTACCAGACCGAGCCACGGCCGCACCAGTGGGGTTTGCAACATTTTGAACCCGAATCCCTAAACCCTACACGACCTACACCCTAAACCTTAGCCCTAAGTCCTGTACCATAAATCATAAACCCTATCCGAACCGAAGCAGCGACAAATCCCTGAACTGTGAACTATAAGCCTCACGACTTCAACCAAACACCCTGCGGTCAGCCTTGCCTGGAACCCTATGTAAGCCGCTGACCCTCAGTTCTACTTGCGACTTCATCCTCAAGTCCCAACCCTGAAAACTCTGCACCTTGACCCCCTTGAACCCGCGACTGTGCAGCACCATTGAAAGCCCTCGATCGCTGTTAAGCCCATCCAGACCGATAAACAGGATGACCACGTACCGAGAACCCCATAACAACTGCACACAGAACCTCGAGTCCTAAATTTTGAAACCCTCAGCCCCAAGCCCTAAACTCTACGTCCCCAAGCAGCCCAAGCACGAATAGCTTATTCTCTTAACGGCACAAAGGGAAAATGGCTGTAAGCACGCAGCCCCTTGTCGTTTTTCCGTTATCCCCGTAAGTTTCATTTCCAAACCTACCGCACTGAAATCACACGAACTCGCCCAGAAGCGGAAGGTCAAGGGAAAATATTCGCCTACCTAGCCACCACCGATACCAGCCATAAACCAGACCTGAAACCCTCAAACCCTAAACCAGACCTGGAACCCTCAAACCCTACCGTTTTAGGTGTCCTTATTGTGATCGTCTATCAACAACCCACTTAAATACGTTTTTCAAAAAGAGGCAGGGTTTTTCCAGGGATTCAGGTGGATTCTTAAAAAAGATGGGGCGAGGTCGGCTCGGAGCTCGTGGAGACCATGGCCTCTGCCGTACTCCCGGAATCTGCAAGGTTTCAGTTTACGGCTTTAGGGTTGTACTTGGAGGGTCGGGGGGCTTAGTAAGTAGGTTATAAGTAGACTTATCAGTGCCTTAAAGGGGACCCTACTTGGGGTTATGGTGCTTATAAGTGTCTAAAAATAGCTACTTACTAAGTCCCCCGACCCTCCAAGTAGGGTGTAGGGTTGGGGGGGTTCAGTTTAGGGTTTTGGGCTTAGGATTCAGGGCTTTCTGTTTTAGGGTCTTCGGGTTAAGGCTTGAGGGTTTGGTTTGGGGTTCAAGGATGTCAAGGGTTCAGGGTTTACCCAGAGGGTCCAAGTACCCAAATAGTAGGGTTTTAAGTCCCAAAATCCAAACTCCCAAGACCCCACTATTTGGGTACTTGGACCCTTAGTAAGCCTTAGGGTTTAAGGTGTTCGTTTAGTTTACGGCTCCAAGGTTTCACTTTCTTTAGGCCCCAACTCCTAAAATCTCCGAACCGCCCCAAATACATCCGCCAGCTTACTGTGTTTGAATACCCAGAGGGTTCGAGTATCAGAATAATAGGGTTTCGGGTCCCACCATACCATGAAGGGCTTTGGACCTGGGAAGCCTACTATTTGTGGACCTTGGGGTTGTGAAGGCTGGAACCGCACCCGCGAAACCCTAAGTCCCAGCCTCTTGATTGGAACTTCAGCTACGACTCTCAATATGAAACACAGACCTCACTCAGTTCAAAACCCTGAGACATATAATAGTATATATATATATATATATCCTTATGAAACAGTATGGAGCAACCCTATCATGAGCTCAAGCCCCCAAAACTTTACGTAAACCATCACAAACCCTATCTGCAAGCCCCAAGCCCCAAACCGCCCATATCCTGAAACCCTGAAGCCCTTAAGGCTTAAACCTTACATCCTTAACCCCTGCGCTCTTACACCCTCCAACCCTTGCATCCTGAAACCCTTAAGCTTTTAAGCCATTCAACTCTCAAACCTTTAGTGACTGGTAAACCATTATATACATAAACTCCTAACCCCCAAATCCGTAACCGCAACTTCTCCTTAAACCCTTAAACTATTAAAACCATGTGCCCCTAAAACATCCTTATGCCACCACAACCCAGCCGCTGCGATCCGAGGCCCTGGGTCTGCCTTTGGTGCGGCGCGCTATCGCGGGAGCACCCACAAACGTCGACTCGAGCGTTTATGTGGCGGGCTCAACGACTCAACCCCCGAAGAGTCCATGTAAGGGATCCTTTAAAGGTTCCTTGAAGGGTTCTATAAGGGTAGCAGAAAAGGCTTAGAGATATTTAGGCTATGAGGCTCCATGTACCCAAATAGTATATACTTTGGCCCCAACATCCCTTTTAGGGGCTACTTCAAGGCCCAGCTATAGTATGGACTATTTTCGTACGTGTACTCTGAGGCAAGCATGGGCCAAGAGGCTACCTGGATGGCCAAGTGCCTTTTGCTTCAAGAACCTTCTTTGTGTTGTTTGCTGCCTATGAGCTGCTTATAGGCTTTAGTCCGTCGCCATTGTGCTTGCCGTGGCACAGGAGGAAGTCAGACCAATTCACACAGGGCACGGAAGGGGCTCTTGCCGGCCCTTGTAAAGTATGTGAGGATCTTAAGTCTATTTACCGAAAGAAGGCGTCCGTGAAGGGCCGCATACAGCTTTCTCCTCAATCGGACGCCGGTGCGAAGGGATCGCATTGCACGGCGAAGGAGAGACGGTATGGCTACGAATGCTTGATCTAGGAGCTTTATCCCTGTCAAGAGTTGGGGAAGGGCCTGCAGCAGATGTGTTGGTGTTGGAAAACGAGCAGCAGCTTTCGCAGGATGCACCGCGAGTGCAGAAGACGTCTGACACTGAATATCGCTGACGTCCTGAACCCTGACCGCCAAAACCTAACCCTAAGCCAAAGCGCCCTGCCCTAAAACCCCATGGCCTCGGGCTAGGATGTATTTGAGAGTGGAGGGTGGGTTGATCCAAGATGCCAATTATTTCGGACTTGTGGATGGCGGGACTAAGGGTTTTGGGCTTGCGATCGATCGTTTTCGGATCCACCAAGCGCAAGGTGGCGCTGGCTTCCGCAATGCCAGAAGCCCGACCGTAGGCTCGATACATGTTCAATCCTCAGCCCTAAAGGGAACTCCAGAAAGTTGGAATATGGATTAATGGTAGGATCCCCCATAGTTTACCTTAAAGGGGTTACGATAATGATATTCCAACTTTCCGGCTTCTACTGTAGATGATGCTAGAACTTGACGCCTAAACCCCAAACCCCAAATCCCATAAACCCTAAACCATAAACAAAAAAACGCCTCAAGACTCAAAACACAAACCCGTGATCTCAAACCCCATCCCCCTGAGCCTGATAACTTCAGCCGACATCCGAAGACCAAAACCCGAATATAAGCTAGGTATCGATTTGGGATAACTCTGAATTTCCCTGATTGGCTAATAAAGCGCGCTAAGTATAAGTTATTTTGGTGATTTTTGAAATCGACACCTAGATAAGGGCTACAAGGTTATGACCTTGATCTAACTCCAGTATCAGGTTTCCTTTAGGGGGATACTGTACTTCCAGACTTGAAGCTTGCGCTTAGGCTCCCCAAGATGGCGATGAGGCTCCGCTCGCATGGCACCGGGTTTCGGCTTCGACTTTCGTGGTTTAAGGTTTAGGGGTTGGGGTCTAGGGTTTATGGTTAGGGTTTGGAGCTTTAGGGTTTAGGGTCTAGGTGGTTCGGGGTTGGGGCTATTTGTGTTCTTGCAGGGGAGGTCCAGGCGTTGATGGTTGTCTTGGATCTTTTGGGAGTAGGAGGTTAAAGGGGGCTCAACAGCTGCGAAGCTAACCGTGAAGGGCGTAGATGTTTCTTGTATTCGTTAGACGCTGGCTTGTGTGATATTCCTACCTCAGGTGTTTTTGCAGAATTGCATGGGAGGTTCAGTGTTCAGGGTTTCGGGTGATTCAGGTGCCCATCTCACTAGGGCTCCAAGTATACACATAGTACCTACTTTAGTGTTTCAAGTCTATAAAATAGTACCTACTTTAAAGTCGAAGCTCGTGAAAAGTAGTACTTTGGGCTATTTGGAGCCCCGGGGGATGCTGGGAATGCTGAGGTCTGTCAGATCTTGGGATTCGAGGTTTGGTTTCATCGGCTTGGCTGAGGCCTCGGTCGTAATTATTCTTATCCAGGCTACTCCAAGCCTTCTCGCCAGCGGCTGAATGCCTGAGATTCTACAGGTCGTTAATCTTCTCGGCAACTGAGCTTCTTACATCTAGCCTGTGTTGTTAGAGTATAGGTTTAATGATGTTTCAATCGTTTCACATCACCAACCCCCCCAACTACCAACAAACCGTCTAGTAGCACCTAAGTACATCTAAACCCCAAACCCTAAACCCTAAGCCCCACACCCTTAACCCACCATGAAGGACCAAAAGGCCGCTAGAAAAGGGTCCTTGGGTGATGGTGCTGGCAGAGATGGAGGTTTTAGGCGGAGTTTCCGTGTTTGCGGGTTCGCGTGAGTGGGCTACGGGTCTTGGGACTCCATTCTCAGTCAGTTTGAATTTGGCCGAGATGCCCCACTTCGTAGACAGATAGATGGACAGGTGGCCAGAGAGACAGATCGAGGTATTTGTTATTCTGTCCTTTTTCAGCCTTGGCTTTAGCTTCAGGGTTTACGTGATCCCTAAAGACACCAAGTCGACTCAAAAGCCCCAGCTCTGAATCCCAGTCCAAGGCTCGCACGCTATAAGTTTTAGGACTTCAGGATCTAGGGCTGAGGCTTTAGGGTTTAGAGTCTGCGATAGGATACATAGGACGGTGACAGGTAGGATGGCCAAATAAAGTCGCTTGGTTGTGGTAAGCTCCCACATCTTTCCGGAAGGCAGTGCAGCAAGAGACGCAAGCTTACTGAGTCCATTGCTTTGGGGCTGTAGGCTGTAGGCTTGCATGCCCGGCCTTCAGGGTTTAGATGTGTGCAAGGCTGGGTAGAGCATCTGAAGGGCGTGGTCGCCGGTCGAACTCCGACTCAAGCCGAAGCTTCAAGGTGTACGCGATAAGACGCAAACCTCTGATTTCCAGCGGCTTTCAAGCTTTATCCCTAAACCCACATCGCTGATCAGTTGAGCCTGCGGTGCATGGACACCTAGGTTTCAGAGCCTCCGACCCCAGTGCTTGCTGAGGGGTTTACAAGTGATTCCTAACATTGTGTGATTAAGACCAAGGAGTCAGAGACACGCAGAAAGAGACCCCCTCCCCGAAAAAAATCACTGCCCCTGCCAATGTCGAGGTAATGAGGAGGTCTTCCCGAAGCACTAGACGGGCTCATTGCTTGCAAAACTGCGTCCTGCCCCATAGGCAGTCTTTTAAACCGAGCTCGATAGACTCCAAACCACCAGCCGGTCAACCCTGAAGACTTCCAAACCCGGAACCCTAAACATCCCTAAACCATACACCCTGGCACGCGAATTCCACGGCGATGGATGGCCCCGATCAGCCACGTCCTCTCGCCCGGGCGGCTGGTGATCAGCGCTGGGAACTCAATGCTTTTTGAAGCTGAGTCTAGGATACTATAGAGTTCCATAAATGCTTATACCGCTTAGAAGGGCACGCATCTTTGCCCAAAACGCAGAACGATGAAGAGCTTGCCGTGTCGCTTGAATCAGGTACAGACCATGCATGGGTGTTAGATTCTCTCAGTGCTGCGGTGAACTTAGGGGCACTTAGAAATAATGTTTAATTTTTGTTTATTATAATCCCTAAGAAACAGCTAAAATCTATAATTTTTGCTAGGGTTCTAAGTTCAGTATAGTGAAGTGAAGTCTGGCCTTGATTCATGCCCAAAATAGAATGCCCCTAAGCGAAAGGACGTTCGAATTGCCCAGCCTTGAAACGCGGCGGAAGCCGAAACTCGAAGGTAGAAGTCTCGGGCTGTAAGATAGGGCGGGCTTATATAAGAATTACCCATACTGCTTTTGGGGTTCCTTATTGAAGATACAATATAGTGGGCACCCATACCCTACTCTAATTATAGGGTCGACCGCATTGGTGTTTTTCAGGGCCCCAGGTAGGGCAGGTAGGGGTCGGCAGGGGTCCAGAGCCCTTTCCCTAAGGGTTCATGTACCCAACTAGTATCTACTTTGGCCTTAAAGTACTCCCTATATAGGTACACTGGGCCCAAAGTATGTACTATTTGGGTGCATGGACCCTTAGGGTCTTGTTGTCGTCATGCCGCAAGGTTCCCAGCTTACAGAGTGCGCGTGACTCGGCTAAACTCGCAGGACATGCGCGAACGATTCGTTGAACATTGTGTTTCATAGGATGCAGCTGTCGTAACGATTAAATCCAGCAGCATTCTTTAAGCAGGCGGTACCATACATTTTTATGAACATTAAAAGTCCAGAGTGTGCTGCCAGAGCGAACGCCCAGGGTGAAACTTCCCGAACGCTGCCCTCCCATGTTGATGGAATGTGGAAGCCTCGTTGCCTCTCAATGGCCAGCAATGAACCCATGGAGCCTCGAGTCCGAAACCTTGATTAACCCCTAATCCCAAACCCTTAAAGGCGCGAAAGCCCTGCAGCAGGGTATGACGTGGTACCGTAGGTCTAGGGCTCCAGGGAATCACGGTTTAAGGCTTGTGAGGGCCCGCAGACCATACTAAAGGCTGAGAGACATTTCGGGCCATCTCCAGTATGATATACAAGCGTGTGGCACCACAGGCTCTTCACTTCTCCGTACCTCGGGGGCTGCACATTTCGTCTCAGAACTACAGCTGTTTCACGTTTCGGTCTAGGGGCTGGTCATCTGGAAGCCCAGATGAGAATAGATAAATCATCAGCAACAATTTGATCACCGCAAGCCTTAATCATCGCAAACCCCAATGCTCAAACCCTGAACCCGCAGCCCCAAAGCCCAGACCATAAACCACCTATAAAGCCTCAACAGCCATGTATCCGTAGCCAAGGCAATCTCGAAGATGTGGATGTGAAGGAAGACTGCGTGACCTTCCTTGCGCAAGGGGAGCGGGTGCGCCTTTGCTGGGGGGGAGGGTTCAGGGCTGCTTCCTTGACCCCCAAGCACAAAATTTGCCGGTTTCGGCTGCATTTCATCTTGCCAGGCTAATTGTTGTTATGGTTGCTTGGCATGATGAAGCTTCTGAAGGGGGGTGTGATATGGGAATTGCGACAGAGATGCATTATACCCCAGTTCTTAGATGCATCATGCCCCATGTTTTCATCAAAGACTCTGAAATCTAAGCTCTACGTTACTAAACCGTAGCTTTTTCATGTACCCCCCAGCGAGTAGCCCCCCTCAACCCTCTTCCCTTTGCTCCCTTGCCTCTCTCCTTCACTTGCTGCAGGTGTCGATCGATCTTCCTCCGCGGACGCCGCTGGCCAGTCAGATTGGGGCTAATTAAGGCCTGCTCCAAAAACACGGTTCTTTCACCGAGTAGCTTTTATAATTGTTGTAAAGCAGGGCTTTGGCTTTTATTGACAATTTCATATTTGTTCTGATAGGGACTACAAAGGTATACTGTTGCTCGATATTGTGTAGGGATGGCTCGCGGCGTCTTTCGATGCTGCATCCTACGATGCATCTACCTAATAGTAAATAGCATCCATTCAAGTTCTTCTTTTTGGCTTAACCCGTTGTACGTTTAGGATCCTACTATTGCGGCAGCCCAGAAAAAGAACAGCAATGGACAGTATAGTAAACCCCAACATCTTAGAAGCACATTCCATCAGTCCAGGTAACCTTAAACCTCAAGTGCGCGACCCTACAGCCTTGTGCATTGCACTGGGGTCTAAGGTTTAAGGGTCTAGGCTTGTGCGAAACTAGAGGAGTTCGTCAATCAAGATCCTGCGGCAACACGTCGAGACACCCCCAAGTTGGGAAAGAGCTTCCGAATCTTGAACCTTAGGCTGTTCTGCCCAGACCTCTTCCAGGATCCACTCTAACAGCAGCATCAGCTAGTACCCCCCGCCCCCGCCGGCAAATTCACCAATCGGCATTAATCATGGTATCCTACCATTAAGGCCTTTCCCAGGGGTTCACCTCTTGGATTGCTTGGGTAAGCCGTTGCTCTTGTTCCCCAAAACAGTTCAACACACCCTAAACTCTGTCTATTTGTTGGAGTTATTAAATACTTGACATATTTCTAAGTGATTTAGGACTAGTTAAAACCCTTCAACCCTGAGCCCGAAAGCCTAAACCCACATAAACCCCAAACCCGACTTAAAGCCCTTAAACCCTAAGCCCTAAACCTAAACATACATGGGTGGTTGTCAAAATTATGATCCCTTTTGGGGTCCCTAGTATAATACGGCACTTAATATTTCCGGTACCTAGAAAGGGACCCTAATTTTGACAACTACCCACACAAACTAGAAGCTGAGCCCAGGATCAACGTCGAGGCTTGCTCGGCCCGCTTCAGGCATGCTGGTTGGGGGTTTAGGGGTGAGGAGTTAGGGGTTTAGGGCTTAAGGTTTAGGGTTTAGGGTTGGGGGTTTAGGGTTTAGGGGGGTTTAGAGGAAAATGAGTTTCGGGTGTAGAGTTCTTCTTTTACCATAGGCCTTTGGGGTCATCTACAACAAGTACGTAGTCATGTAAGAGCGATGTTTACTGAACTGTAAGCCGTACACCCTGTACCCCTATAAGCCCCTGAGATGTCCGTCGAGAAGCTCCTTGCATGCTGGAAACACGGCTTTCTTGAAGAGAGTATTGATATTGCAGCGCGCTTTAGATCCCAGAAGAAGGAGTCGTTGGGGGTCCAGGACAGAGAAAGGTGCAGGAAGCCTTGCTGACCAATTTGCACTCAGCAACAAGACCAAGTGCGAGTACCCGCGTAGTATGTTGTGACCCCTAAACAAAAATGCTCAAACCATCTGCCGGACTGTAAACCTGTACAGCCGATTATAAGCCCAAAGCCCAGAACGAGCACCTCCAACCCCAAAAGTCTGTACCTCTACAGACTACGTAGATTAATTATGCTCGAATATACCCGCAAGCCTTGTTCCAGTTAAAGCCTAAACCCTAGGCCGTAGCACTTACCATATTAATCTCTTTAGTTCCCGATGTCAACTCGAGACTCCTAATCAAGAATCCAGTAGCGCGAGAGGAAGGCAGATCTTATCCTCTCCTGGCCCGCCAAAGACGATCCAGCGCCTGCCAACGGCTGCAGCGTAGCAGCAAGAGACGCATAGCCTAGGTGGCACTTGGGGAATCATGGATTTCTCTTCATGGTCCCTATAGAGGTACCTACTTTAAGGACCCAAAGCTTCGACCCAGTAGATGATTCAGCTAGGGTTTCAAGTCCGAGCTTTATGCAGTTCCGACGAGTGAAGTAGAATTGCAGGTAGACGTCGAATGCATGTTTTCCAATGGCCAAAGCAATGGAAACAGCAACAACAACACTACGCCCGACACCAGACTAGGGACTCGCAAGCCCAGCACTTACCTGTTTGATACTACGGCTGATAGTCGCTATCCTGCTTTGTCCTTCCGTACCCGTAGAGCTGGGCAATTATGGTTTGTTCCTTGCTATGAATTTGCTGCTTGCTGTCCGGTAGGGGAAAAGCTTTCTTTATTTGCGTGAATGGCTCCTGAAGTCACGTTTAGGGTTCGGGTTGAACCACTGGGCTGAACCTATAGGGCTCCATGAACTCCAACATACTTTAGCCTCAAAGGAGTCCATGCAAAGGTACTGTCGGGTCGAAGTCTAAGACATGATCAAATGTGGGTGCATGGACCCGAGGGGATTCAGGTTAATTCCAGGACTGATGGGCCAAGGAACTTCCCCTTGTCAGTGTTTTGCAGGATCGCATGTGAAAGGGTTACTAGGGCTCCAGTAGGACCCTTTTGCCCGTTTACGTATAATGGGCAAAAGGTGAACCTAGGTTCGCTTCAGAAGCGTTCGTTTGACTACCATTATCTCGTCTTCGTAGGTCCAATTCCCATGTCCCGTGGGCTTTCACGTCTTCCAGATTTTGAGTTGCTGCGGTAGTCTTTCTGTGATGCTATCCGCCGTTCCCTCCACTCAGATGCGGACCCCGTCACGGCTCCGCCAGCAGCCACCGGAAACGAGGCGTTGTTCGTGGCGGTAGTTCGGTATTTAGGCTAATTTGGGTACCGTAGACACAGAACACAGAACTTCCCATATGCTCCTTGATTGAGAAATGCTGCTCCTCAAGTCATATGTGGCTTCTGCTTTTGTATAAGGAAAATTGAGTCTTCCTACATTTTGATTTTCAGATTACTAGCACTCCGTGCTCGTTTACAACGTAGTTGGCACCCCGTGCTCGTTCACCACACCATGCTCAGCTTGGTTGGCACGATAGTTGATCGAAGAAGCCTCTGCAACTGTCTCAACTTGTCCATACATACTTTACGCTCATAGACACACTGCTCTCTTGCTTTTTGCAGCTTGGTTTTCGTATTATTGGCCAGACTTCACATATCCTCCGGACCGGCTTCTTGAGAGCGTGGGAGAATTATTCTTGAATTCACCAAGCTGGAAAGGACTATTTGCGGATGTGTAAGCACGGAGGTCGGAGCTACTAAAGAGACAGTTTAGGGTCTACGGTTTCGGATGTTGCAAGGCTCAGGAGGACACGGAGAGGGTGCATTCAACGTCCCTGCTCGACGTCGGGCGGGCGGAGTCCTCGCCACGAAACCTATCAGATTTCTTCATGTTCAGGGCCCCCCAAGACCCAGCTATATTCTCCCAAAGGGTCCTAAGTCTTCAAGTACCTGTATGGTGGAATGTAGGGTTTCTATATTAGGAATTAAAATTATGATCCAGGGAAGTATCCCCCGTAACAGTACATAGGACCCTCTTGGTCTCCAAGAAAAGGCGAGGACCAACAGAGTCATGTCCGCTCCCAGTCCTGGCTCGAGCGATCCCCGAAAGAACTCTCGTAATGTCCTCTTTTGTTAAGACCAAACATGCCGAGCCGCAACCTAGGGGTTTAGGGTTTTAGGTGTAGGGTTTAGGTCCGCTTTTCTCGAAGCGGTCCGAGTAAACTGACAGCCTGAAAGCTGGTAAAAGTGGACTGACAACAGCAGCAGCCACCAGCGTCAGGGCATCCGACCACGACTCCTGGAGCAGCAGCCCGGGCCATCATCCCAGACGCTCTTGCCACCGCATCTACATCCAAACATCCCTACGATCGGCTTCAGTACCATGACCATCATGATCACCTGTGCCGAAACCAACTTCAGAGTCACCATCATCATCCACACCATGAGCATCAAAGTCATCTCTCACGATCACCGGCTCAATCACCAATGTCAAAACCGTCGTCATCATCACTGTCGTCAGTCTGCTTGGCATCATCAATGCTATCACCAGACCAGTAGTCATCGTCGCTGTAATCAGCAGCGTCGTCGGCACCAACCGTCGTCGCTGGCAGGCTAGCTACAACATGATGCAACACACAATCCATGAACGATCTGACCGAAATATGTTGGGAGTTTCCGAAATACCCTAAATATTCGGGTCCTTATTTGAAGGACCCCAAATAAGGTATCCCTATGTTTTCGGAAACTCCCATAGTTCCCAGACTCCCTGCCGAAGGTGCGCTTTCATCTCGCCGCTGCTGCTCGCTGGGCGGCACATCGCCTCGGGCAGCTGCAGATTCCAGAGTGCTCAGGTGGGGGGGCATTCTAATTCAGAGAGCCCAATACCCCTGAAATAATTAAGGAATATGGCTTAAAGTACATAGGGCTTCATATTATGATTTAAGCTGTATTCCTTTAATTAAGGGGTATTGGGCTCTCTGGGAATATAGGGGCCGAAGTAATTGCCTATACTATTTCGGTGGTTCCTCATTATGTTTATAGTACAGTGGGCCCCAAAACTCTGTTCTAATTACTAAGGCCCCTATTCTACAGCAGTTTGCCCCTTACCCAGAGGGTCTATGCACTATACTATTATTATTGAGGAATTAGGTCCCCCAAAAAAAACATTACTACGATGGTCTTTGGGGACCTAATTCCATAATGGTAGTGCATATGGACCCTCCGGGTTATAGAGCGAAGAGAGTGTGACGGTGGCTCCTTGTTTACATGAGGCTTCCCGATGCAACGGTACACAGATGCGTATTTCCCAAAGGGTCCAAGTACCATTATACTAGGTACTCGGTAGGCATTTGGGCACCAAAAAAATATACTATACTATTCTAAACCCTTTGGGTTTTGCGGTGCCCATGCCCATATTCAAGTCTCCCGGAAAGTCGCCTGGTTAACTACTAAAAGCCACCGCGCTTTCCCAGCAACAGACGTGCGACACAGGTGTTTTCAAGGCTCCAAAGGACCCCGTATTAGGTACTCGGCCTTAGGATAGTAGCTACGTAGGGTACTATTACGGAGAGTATGATTATTAGGTCATTAGGTACTTGGACCCTTGGGGTGGCGACATGTCAGCATAATAGGCTGGGATTTGTATGGCTGCGCCAGGCTAGCCAGGCACCAGATACTCGGTACGAAAACTCCTGGACGAGAGGACACACTTCATGCATGAATGTATACATATTCATTCGATTTCTGAACGGTGAGGCTCTAATTCTAATCCTGAGTTAACGTTTGTATGCACGCACACACATCAAGTACACAGACACATGCACACATAACTACACTTACAGCTTGATATCACATGCACATGCAGATCCGCATACGAAGCTCTATTCCGATTTCGCCAACCCAGAAGCCCTAACCCTCCATCTACCCTCTACTAGACCCTAAGTACCCATTATTTGGGACCCTATACCCCTGTTTGAGGGTGCAAGGAGGGTCCTGGTATAGAACCCAGAGGGTCCAAGTACTCAAATAAGAGGGCTTTAGGTCCCAAAGACCAGGATTTTGGGATCTAAAGCCCTGCTATTTGGGTACTTGGACCCTCTGGGGAACCCTGAAGCCCTGCACGAGGCTTCCAGCGTTTCAAGGCGGAGGTTGGCTTGGCCGAGTTGGCGTTGTACGGGCTCCTCGGCTGTTTCGCTCCCGTAGGGTTCATGTTGTATGTAGGGTTCAGGGTGGAGGGGTTTAGGGTTTCAGGGTTTAGGCTGTAGTGTCTGGGGTTCAGGGTTTATGTAGGGTCTAGGGTTCAGGGGTTTCAGGTTTTCACAGACGGACGTTGGACAGCTTGTTTTGTGTCTTGAGGGTTGTATACGGGGGCTTATGGGAAATGATGGTCTTCTTTTTTGGGGGTTGTTAAGATTTTTTCAAAGGATTCGAGCACGGTCCTGCAGGTGACGCTAGCAGGTTTTGTGGGGCTCTTCAAGGCTTTCTGCAGGGCTGCAGAACGGCTTTCATAAAGGTTTCTGACATGGCTTCATGTGATTTTTGAAGGGGCTTCAACGGGCGGTTTCTGATAACTCGACTAACTAGACCTTATACCCTACTTCCCTAAACCCTGAACCCCTAAACCCAAAGCCCTCAAAAGAGCGTCCACAAATCATCTTTTAGCGAGGCTCCGAGTTTGTCGCCTCGGCACGCCGCCAGCGCTCTCCGTGTCTTCGACTGGTTTAGATCATATGGTTTAGGGGTTCACGGCCCAGGGTTCAGGGCTATACAGGTTAATGGTTTAGGGGTTTAGGGTTTAGATTTTATGGTTTAGTTCAGCAGCTCCGGGTCGAGTAGTTTTTTTGCTATTTGCGGCTATGATATAACACCCACCCGGAGTATCCCATAATGGTAAGGAACATAACATTAACCATATAGGTCGGTTCAACAGTTTTAATTCAACAATGGCCTTTCTTTCTTACATTCAGATTACAAACGGAACCCTCAACTGCAACCCAACCGGAAGCCTAAACGGAACTTAATCCTAAACGGCACGCCTAAACGGAACCTTTTAGGATTCGGACTACTATTGGGGGGTTCAGACTACTAGTTTCGATTGTTTTTAGCTTTTCAGTACATGGGTGTACCTGTTCTGTGTACTGTCACGAGGGAGGATCTCCAGCGCATGCTGCGCTTGCTAACCTCGTGAGCTTAGCAGAGCAATTTCGGAGACGCCAGCTGCAAGTCCTGTTTTCCTTTCAGCCCTCTACATAAATATATATATATATATGTATGTATGTATGTATGTATATATATATATATATGCTATCATGTGTATGGTAGAGTTCGTCGTGGTAGTTGTCGTCGTCGTCGTTTTGTTTGTTCGCGTCGTCCTAGCCTGTCGATGCGATTACTAGCAAATCGACAGCACGCACAATCATGATAATTTGCAAAACTCCTTGCCCCAAGTCCGAAATGCTCTGAGCTTCACATGAAGCCATGGAGCCTTTGGAACCCCACACCAACCCAGTGAGCCCAATACCCCTTAGTTAGGGAATATAGCTTAAATCATAATATGAAGCCCTATATAATTTAAGCCATATTCCTTAATTCCCTTATAGACCCCCTTTATAGATCCCTTCAAGGCGCCCTTTAAGGAACCCCAGGTATTCCTTAATTAAGGGGTACTGGGCTCTCTGGGAAGTTGTCTGGCTCATGGGTTCAGCAAACCCGAGACTTGAATGCGAAACCCCTCGGCTCTTGCCTGCAAGACTCTACCTTGATACTGTTGATGGACAAAATACCATAGTTCCCATAGTTTAGAGTCCTTAGGGTCATGCAGGATTTTGTCCATCAACAGTAATTAGGGTTCTTCAAGGTAACCCAAAACAGGAATTACGATGGAGACTTCAGACTACACATCAAGTTCAGGATGAGCCGCAAGCCGAAACCGTCAATATCCCTGCTCAGGTTCACCTCAGCGCCACGGAGGCCAGGCTTGCCGAGTCTCTTCGGGCACTCAGCGCCGGCGAGGAGCCGGATGCGCAGGCCACGGTTTAGGGTTCAGAGTTTAGGGTTTATACACCCTATCCCAAAGGGTCCTAAGTACCTGTATGGTAGAATGTAGGGTTTTCATATTAGGAATTACTATTATGATGCAGGGAAGTATCCCCCATAGCAGTACATAGAACCTTTTTGGGTATACCCTAAACCCTTATAGGTCTCGGGGAGGTTCGATTTGGGGCTTCAAGGCGCTGGGGCTTGTAGGTTTGTTAAGGGTCCAGGGGGCCTTTGCCCTGAGGCCTCCAAGTACGTATGGCTGAAGGCCCAAAAAGTATAAACTTTGCTTAGGGGTACTTGAAAATATTTTTATTTTTTTGGTCATTATAATCCCTAAGAAACAGCTAAAGCTATAATTTTTGCTAGGGTTCTAAGTTCAGTATAGTTTGGCCCAAAGTATTCAAGCAGGGACTCGTTTCAGGCAGTGTTCAAGGCCGAACAACATTACTCTTTGAATACCCAGAGATTCCAAATCCTTTGATTTTGAATTAAGGAATATACACCATAACTTGTAGTAGGAACCCCAAATCCTTTCAACTTGAATCAAGGAATATACCTTAACTCATAATAGGAACCCAATAAGAGTTGTGATATGGGAGTTTCCGAAAATAGGGGACCCTAACATAGTACCCTAAATAGTAGGATCCTTATTATCCCCGAATAAGGTACCCCTAATTTTCGGAAACTCCCATATATTCCTTACTTAATACTGGGGTCTTGGAGTCCTTGCGGTGGCAGCTCCTGGGTCCAGGATACTTGGAGGACCATGGGACTTAGTAAGTAGGGTTATAAGTACCTTAAGTGGGGTTTTAAGTAATTGTAGGTATAGTTACCTTAATTATGACCCTAGTTACCAAGTCCCATGACCCTTTACGTGAGGATGAGCTCATGTCATTGCTTTGATGAGACTGGGTGTGGCTACGAGTCTGAGCAGCCTCCTACTTTGCACGAACCTCAATATCTGTCTCTCTAGCTACAAACGCATGTATGTGTATATATATATATATATGTATGTATGTGTATATATATATATATATATATGTGTATAGAAGTTTGTGCCATACATATATATATATATATATATCTATCTACGGTGAAATCCTTGTATAAGAGCCCCATCCCACGAGTGTAGCCTTCCGTACGGCTTTTGTTTTCCATTACCTCTAGTTTTGCCGGCTGAGTAGTTAGGGTAGGCTGAGGCTCTTACTCACGTTCCTATTTTCACACAGCATGTACCTTGAGCCAAAAAAGGCCGCGGCATCTACTCTCACCTACCCTGCCCCGAAACAAAAACGAACTGATGTCTGACACTAATTCGTTGCTGCCTTTGCCCACCCCTGCCCCCAACCGCCAAAATGAGAACCTATCCCCCCAAGGTTCTCATTTCCACAAACCACAGCGAAACCACTTCCACCCAACAAAATTAAAATAAGAACCTGATCCCGAAAGCTAGGGTACCCTAAGGTTCTTAATTTCTTAATCTTGAAGCAAGATATTAGAAGATGCTACGCCAAAGCCTGAACTTGGCTGCCAGGTTACGATGCTGGACTTTCCAATTCAAGCTGTTAGCAAACCGTCAGCACTGCCACCTTTTGTAAACCCTTTAGTTTCAGCCCTGAGCTATTCCCTGAACCTTGTTTGAGCCCTATGTTCTAAGCCGACTCCTTAAGCCCGAACACGCTGGAAATGACCCTGAAATCGTCAACTTCCCCAATGCCCTCTCGACAACATCCGAATAGTTATGCGTAACATCTAAACAATACCGATTTCTGCAACTGTAAGCCCCTTCAACCTTAAGCCCCAACGTAGGTAATGGCCGACGTGCGCACCACCGTCGATCGAAACTTGATCGAAGGATTTTTGGTGTGGGGTTCTGGGTTTGGAGCATCGACCTCCAAACATGTTGCCGCGTTGAAGCTGACGACCTCCCATTCTATGTTTGATGCTATAATTCCTGCATTACCTGAAGGACCCTAAGCTATGGGAGTTATGGTAAATTCCTTATTATGGGTAATGCAGGATTTATATCATCAACCGACCGTATGACCTTCATCGAGTCAGTGAGTCAGTGTCGAGGATTTAGCGGCTTACAGGACTTGCGGCCCAAAACGGACTTCCTTGCAAGGGCTTTTGGGTTGGTAGCTGTGCCCAAAGTACCCTGCTCTCGTCGTTCCTAGGGCATCCCAGACCCTGAACCCGACAACCTAAACCCTAAGGCCTAAGAACCTCAAACTCCAAACCTTATACCCGTAAAGACGCCTTCATCAACAGCCTTAAACCCTCTACCTTGAACCCTTAACCTTATACACCCTAAACCTAAACTCTACCTTGACCCCAAGTAACCTACCTTTTTAAGGACATATATAAAGAAATCATCTTAGGGAACCCTAAAAAGGCAGGTTCCTGAGGGTCCAGGTAAACCTTAAACCCTTACAAAAGCAAAGTCCATGAGGCGCTTTGGGAGCAGTGGATGACCTGAGCTTCGAGGTGCGAGGGATCCAAATCGCACGGGTCACCTTCATGGGGTTCTTACTAATGTAGGAACCTGATTAAGAAGCCTTGGGCTTTTTGTAGGGTTCCTTATATGAACCCTACTATTTTGGAGTTATAGGCCCAGAATTTCTTAATCAGGTTCTTACTATCCCTGTTTGGGCTTAGGGTTCAGGGTTTAAGGTTCAGGGCTTCGGGTTTCTGATGGTCTTGTAAGGGTTCAAGGATTGAGGGTTTAGGATTTGTAGGGTTTAGGGCTTAGGGTTGAGTGCTTTTGGATTCAAGTTTATTGCTATCCCTGTCACATTATGACTATGTTTCTTGGGCCCTGTGGTGTTCTTCTTGTTTTTTGGTACAGTTCCTATAGTCTTCGGTTCCAGGACCCTCCTTGTACCCTCAGATGGGGATGTATGGTCGCAAATTATGGGGATTCAGGGTCGAATGGAAGGTAGGGTTTAGGTTTCTTACTGCTCGTCTCATTTATGCTTTACTGTGTTTATACGCATATGCTTTATGTAGTTAGAATGTGTGTCCAGTTGTACGAGGTACTTGATGATGATGATGATTATGATGACGATGATGATGATGATGATGTTTAAGCCCCACGGCTCACAGTCGAGGCCCGGGGTTCTCTTTCGGCTGGCTTTTTGTGTTTGTGGTCGGGGCTGGGTTTCCTTCGGCGAAGTTAGATGCACAGCCATGGAAGCAGCAGCCAAGACGAAGCAGAGTCGCTGGAAAGTGTCGACAGGACACCTCGTGATTTCATGCGTCATGGCAGCATACTGCAGCATGAGCTTTTGCCCAAAGGGCCTCCGCCCCCTGTGCCGGTCAACAGACCATCCGGGGCGCCGCTTGCATCAGCCCGAGCTGCGGACCCTGACTGTCACGATGACACCTCCGAAGCTGCCCACGTCCCGAGCGACGACTCCCATCCGGAGTACCGCTGGCCAATGCAGAATGGAGAGCGAATCGCTGGACCTTTCTTGCCGAATGGGCGGTTTGCTGAAACTACTTCTTCCAGTTCCTCTACAGATGACGACGCAGACGAGGCGGGAGCAAGAGCTGAAGCAGACCCTGGGGCGGCACACCCTCCCGGGAACGGAGATGACGGTCAAGACTCCGATGCTTGGAGTTGGAGCAGCACAAGCATCGACCTGGGTGGCACATCGCTGGCCCCTGCCGTGGACTTCCTGCTCACACTGTACCGCAGCCAACTATCCGACTCCACCGAACTTTACACCAATCGCGAAGTGGGTGGCAAGGTTGGTGGGCTACGCCGACACTTGGCGGGCAAAAACTGGGCCTATGTCAGCGAGGCAGCAAGGCGGTACCTGGAGGGCGAGTCACTCGCCTCATGGCGCGACTTCGAGCAAAGGGCCACACATGAACGACGGCCCAGCCGACGAGTTCGAGCGCGGCACGACTGAGGTCACGACCAAACCGATAGGCCGAGCAAGGAGCCATTGTGCACGTGCTTTTCAGATCCTGCCTCACATGCATGCACATGCCCCTACTAAGCCCACCCGACCCCGCAAACACATTCGATCCCACAGGAGTGTCATTGGCTGCCAGCAAGCTGCAACAAAGCCTCCAGACGAAGGCCATTCTGCACCCCCCTGGCAGACTACTACTCCCGATCCTTTAAGCCACCCTAAGACCCTACATAAGCCCAGATTAGGCCGAGCCGGTCCCAAATCCGGCACCTACCTCATAGCACTGATCTACTGTCGATCCATAGGTCTGGTAGGAGGGGCGAGGGTTTCTCTTGATTCCGCGTCAGGAGAGGGACCCATCGTACCCACGATGGGGAAGCATCGCGGACCAGCACTTACCGCGGCGTCAGGGCAGCCCCAGCTGCCACCCGTCCCAAAGATAGCGCACTCAATCAAACGAGCATACAGACGAGCACGCCTTCGAGCCCATACCTCGCCTAATCAAGACACCTGGTATCGTGGCAGATGGCACACCGCGAACTCCTTAGGACAGCTACCCAAACCAACGCCTAGCAATCCCAGGCGTGTTCGGGAGCAGCCCTCGCACTGGCGCAGGCCAGTCAAACACCTGCAACTGATGTCCTGGAATTCCAGCGGACTCTCTTCAGCCATGTTTCAGGAACTTGCTGCATGGTGTGAACTGCAGGCAGAGCTAGATGTTGTGGTAGTTCAAGAAACACATTGGCATGACACATCAGACTTTCATTCCGGACCTTGGCTAGCCATGCACACATCAGGAAGATCTTCCTCAGATGGATTTGGCAGGTGCTCTGGCATTCTCTTCCTGCTGCGCAAACGTGCCTTCAAGGACCCGCGCATACTAGAGATTAACCCAGGTCGCTTAGCAGTGGTACAGGCCACATCTTGCTTCACAGGGCTGCCGGTTAGTGTCATAGGGGTTTATCAACATGTTTGGCGCAGTGGCTTGTCTACCACGCGTAACTTAGAGCTTCGCCGGGGCTTGTGGAATCAGCTAGACAAAGTACTTCTGGACACGCCTGCGAGACACCACTTGCTGTTGTGTGGAGATTTCAACTCTTCGGTCTCCCCAGAAACACCCATGGTAGGACCCTCGGTCCCAGGACTTTCCAGTAGTCACGATAGCGACCTTCAAGCCATACTTCAGAAGCATTCGTTGTGTGTGCTCAACACATGGCACTCGCGCCCAAGCAGTACTTACTATTCCCCCACGGGAGCTACACAGATCGACTTTGTCATCACTCGGCAGCCTGCTGCTGCCTTTCAAGCCAAGCAAGCATATCCGGATCACCTCTTTCCCATAGGAGGAGGCAGGCTTACTGGTCACTACCCGATACGGGCTCAGCTACCACTGCTGCATTTCAGCCGGCAGGCAGTACCGACTGCCGCCCGCGGCACCGCAATCGACCTTCCGGGTCTGCAGACTGCAGTCAGCCAGGCTCTCCCGGCTGCACAATGCATGCAACATAGCATTGCGGAACGCCTACAACAGGTTGACACCTCGGATCTGCATAGTGCCCATAACCACGTAAACCAAATCCTGCTTGAAGAGGCTGCGAAAGCCTTCCCTAAGTGCCCACCCATAGACTCCAGAGTCAGTGCCAATCCTGAGTATCGATCCTCGGCTAGATTTGTCTGGGGTCTTTATAGGCAGCTGAAACGCCCAGGCGTGTGTGCACTGCACACCATCTTTGCCAAATGGCGCCTTGCAGCTGAGTTTGCACAGGCCTCCAAGCGCCTCCGTCAACAAAGCCGTACTCTCAAACGCCAATTCTATGAGTCTCAGGTTCTTGAAGCCGAACAAGCTGCTTGCATTGGGGACCAACGAAGTCTCTACCTCATTGTCCGCAGACTGTCTCCCAAGCAACGCCAAACAGCCGGCCGCCTGCGAGGCGACGACGGCCGCCTTCTCGACTGCCAAGAGGAGATTAAGCTGATCACGGAATATGGTAATAAAACCTTCGCTGCTCTCCCGGATGTGCTTCACATCCAACCGCTTGAACAGGCTCTTCTCATCACGGACCGAGACCTGCACCTGGAACTTAGCAAGCTGGGTCTGGCAAAGGCCGTGCCACGCCACATTGCCCCCACAGCTGTTTGGAAGGCATGCTCTGAAAGCGTTAGCGGTGTGCTGGGTCAGGCCCTTCGTCACCACCTGCAGCCGGGCAACTCCGGCCGTCTCCAAGGCGACTGGAAAAACTGCCACATGGTTTGGATCCCTAAGCCTGGCAAGCCCCCGGTAGGTGTTGCCTCATTGCGGCCGATCGGACTATCTAGTCCAGCCAGCAAGGCACTGGCAGGCAGCATCCGACATCACTTGCTTCGATACCTTGAGCCCAACCTTAAGATGCTCCCTCAATATGCATATGCCAGTGGCAGAGGCACAGCAGATGCCCTTATCCAAGCACATGCCCATCTCGAGGCAGTGGGAGAGCTGATCCGTGCCACTCGCTGCACCCGCTTCCAAAAGCAGGCCGGCCACAAACCTCGTTCCTGTGTAGGGGGTATAGCCCTGTCCTTAGATCTGTCTAAAGCTTTTGATGGAGTCCCCCGGGAGCACATATATCAATCCATGACAGACTGCGGGGTCCCGCCTGAAGTGATTACACTTGTTCAGCAGCTTCACCACGAAGCACAGTACATATATCACTCAAGGGAACACAGGGGTGCCACCACCACTTCAAACGGCATTAAGCAGGGATGTGTCATTGCCCCATATTTATGGAACTACTTCTCCCTTTTTTCCTCACTCGCCTCAGCGAGAAACGCAGCTACGACTGGATTCGACAAATCCTAGCCCTCTTCGCAGACGACGTTTGGGGAGCTTGGGAGATTCGGGTCAAAGTTGACCTTGTTTCGGCCATCCAGGATATCTCACTCATCCTCGAAATCCTAGAATCCTTGTCCATGACCATCAATTACAGCAAGACTGCCATACTGCTCAGGCTTGTTGGCAAGGACGCCAGTCAGCTCAAACGAGAGCACACCTTCATGAAGGCTGGACAGTTACACTTGCGTGTTTGGGTACATGGACATGAGCGCGGGATTCCGATCAAAGATCAACATGAGTATCTTGGTACGGTGGTAACATATCATCATCGCCATCAACGCAATATGAGTCACCGGCTTAAGGCTTGCACTGCTCGACACCAGGGCCTCCGTAAACTCTTAAACGGTTCCCATCACTTGTCAGAGAAGCATCGCATCCGCCTCTGGAAAGCATGTGTGTGCACTAGTGCAATGTATGCCCAACATGTAGTGGGTGTATCGGCTGCCTCTTTGAGAAGCTTAACTGTCACCTTGACCAAGCATCTACGTGCCATCCTGCGTATTCCCGCGCATCTCACGCACATCAGCACCAAAGAAGTTTGGGAAAGGGCTGGTATCCCGATGCCAGGCTGGACCATTCAGCAGACTCAGCAACAGCTCCTAACCAAGCTCGAGCATCGTGCCCAGCAAAACCCGGACATCACAACCGTCTCAACGGCCTTGCAACATCTCCGTGCTCAGGCGGGATCACTCGAGACACTTCTTCTAGAGGTGGCTGCCGATCTTGCCAGTACGCCACCACCGTCAGCGAATGTCAGCTGCCCATACTGTCAGGAGACCTTTGTCACGGAGCATGCCATGCGCATCCACTGTGGCCTCAAACATGAGTCAATACCTCAATTCTCCACCAAAACCCCTACGGTTTTTAGGCCCGAGCTCCACTCAAAAGCAGGCATGCCAGCCTGCCAGCTTTGTGATCGCCAATTTTGGCGATGGGCGCACCTCGTCCAGCACATTGAGAAGGGAGCCTGCAGTCGCCTTGGAGGGCAAAGCAACATCTTATCTCCGATCCCCGATGACCAGGTTCCGGCGGCCATACAGCAGCCGCCCACGGCAGAACAAGGGATTTTTGGTGCTGAAGATGTGACAAATGTGCCGCTTGTTATGCGCAAAGCTTTCCTTGCACATCTCGACAATTGGGAACGTTGGCTACGCATTCCAGCTGTGCGTCTCGAGCTTTGCAACCACTGTGCCTTGTGTCACTTCTGGGTTTCTGATTTTCGACACATGAAGCAGCATCTCAATCGAGTACACCTTAAAGACAAGCCCACAATCATGCCACGAGCCCTAGCTTTGTGTGAGAGCTTCAAGTCGCAACTCCGGCGCAATAGCTCGTGCCTGTGGTGCACACACAAGGTGGGCGCACCTGGACGACATGTCACACAATGTACTCCATTGATTCAACTGTGCATAGCAGTGGTCTGTGCCAGGGACGCCGACGATGTACGGGGAGATGCCGGAGTTCGGGAGCCAGGAGGAAGCCGAGATCTTTGCCCATTGCTGGCCCGGACATCACGAACTACTTCTCACACCGGACGGGCGCCAGCACAAGCGGCCACGCCCCGAGCATCCGCATCCGCAGCGATGGCAACACCCATCTCGACCACCACCATATGGGACTCCTTTCGGGCAACCGTCTCGACAGCCTCCTCAGGATCCACTTCGACTTCTAACACGCGTGGTCTTGCAACAGGAGGAAGTCATCAGCCGTCTTCGCCACGAGAAGGCCTTCATGCTCTTCATGAAGCAGACGGAGGACGGGACCTTGGGCTCATTGATGAAAGTGGCGAAAGAATGGAATCGCCAGAAATCTCTCGAGACCACTGCCGTTCGCTCGCCACTGCGAACAGTGCTCATGTCCAGCATGGTGAAGGAGCTCCTCAACTTAGCCCAGCAGGCCGTGGCTACGGAGGAGAACAAAGCCAAGATGATCAAAGCCGAATGGCTCACGGCCTCCTCGGAGTGGACATACCGGAAATGGTGTCACACCGATCGCCGACTCAAGATCGACGAACAGCGGACGCCCCTGCAACACACAGAAGCAGTCCGCATTCTGGGCTTCCTCCTGGAGAATCTGAACGGCGATGCGATCCAGCGCTTCGGCTCCACGGTGCAGCTCCCGAAGCTCGAACAACAGGGCGCACAGATGGCAACCTTTGCCCTGGAAATCTCTCTCCGGGGCACCACGGCTCAGGAGCTCTACGACTACTTCAGCCGCCTCTGTGGGAACTCGTTGATGAGCCTCATCGGGGTCTCGATGAAAAAGGATACCCTACCGCGATCTCAGCTGGCCAAGAATCTGGCCAATCAGTTCTATCAAAGATAGCACAGGACCGTCCCAGTCAGCCTATGCCCTCCTCAGCAGAAAACCTGCTTGAGCCAGGATCCTCAGCAGACTCTCCGCACACAGTCGGTTCAGTCGTGCCCCCGGCACTTCCGATTGTGGCCTTCCAGGGTGGATCCAATAGCTGCTATCTTAATTCTTTTCTCAACTGTCTCTGGGTCGCTGCTCATCTCACGAACTTCCGCCATGCCGTGCCTCAGGTCTTGTGGGAAAGATCAGAGCGGCCACTTGTGGCCATGCGTCTGATGGGGCTTCGCCTTTTGGGCTGGTCACGTCCCCGGCAGCAACATGACGTTGCCGAACTGATAGACTTCCTCCAGCCCCGCCTAGTCTCCCCAGCGCCGCCAGGCTGCTGGGAGACAAGGCAGCAAACTGACATTGGCGTCAACCGGACAGTGCCGGTCTCAACTCTCAGATGCATTCAGCTCCACCTTAACCCCCATAGCCCTACGCCCCGGATACAGACCCTAATCCAGTGGTGGCATACTCAGACTGCCATGCATGCCCTAACCCTTGCGCCCCCATGGCTCTTTCTTCAAATCCCGAGGTTTCTGTATCGATCACCAGGGAGGCCGACCAAGCATGCACAGGCCTATGATCTGCCCGACTCCGTTCAGCTTCCGGTCTATCAAACCTCTGATTCGTTTGAAGTTCAGTGGATTGAATACAGGGTCAGCGCATGCATCCAACATCACGGCAAGGTGCCCTCTCAGGGCCATTACACTGCCGCCGTCCCTCTGGATGCAGCCTGGTGGTTGCTCGATGATGAAAAAACGCCGGCCAAGCTCACTCGTGCACAGCTTAAGCATCTGAGTGCCAATGTGTATGTGTTGCTTCTTACCTGTGCTTCGGTAGCCCCTACATCCTCAAGCCCGGTAACGATAGCAGCCGACGAGTCTCATGGATACTCCTCGGCAACCGCGCACTCTGCGAGAGGAGGACTTGGATTGGATTTCGAGCCAGCTCTTTCTGATCCGCACTCAACTGTCTGCCCTGGCCGAACGTCTCGAAGCTATGCAGCAGGCTCAGAATCGAATGCAGGGACACATTCGTGTTCTAGAGGCCAAAGCTCGCAAGGAATCGCACAACAAGTATGCCAGACCTCTGCCCCAGCAAATGTTCATCATGCTCGAAACACTGGATGATTGAGAAATGCGCTTATGTGAGCTCCGAAGTTGCAAAGCAACAGCTCAACTCTTTTGTACGTCACCTAGGTGAATTGTTTAATCTGACGCCCGTACGAGGCATCAGTGCCTGCCGTAATAATCGGCCGACTCTCTCGAGAGTTGTATGGTGCTCGCAGGACAGAACTCTCTGCCGCGTGGGAAGAAGATGATGATGTTTGGGAGCACATAAGAAGCCAATCGCTATAGGAAGGGGGTGAGATAGGGAGGGCACGAGATGGCGAAGTCGCAGCCGACGCCGCAGCCGGAGCGGCGGCGTCGAGGGTGCCCCGGAAGCAGGAGCCGGTTGCCGAGCGCCTTACGCGTCCGCCTGGCTGCGACAGAAACCTTCAGGATCCGTTTGCGCTGCGCCAGCATCTCAGCAGTGAGAAGCACTCTGTGCCATGGGCCCAAACAGCCGGCATGGCGGGGCTGTGGCCCGAGGATCCGAAGCCGCAGGGGGAACTGACGCGTCTTTGAGCTTGTGTAGCCGGCGTCAGAGCTACTTGTTTCCTTTACGGGGTGCGGCTCCGAGTATACACCGTAGTAGCTTGACAGGTAAACTTCAACATGTGTGGGCTTCTGCCGTTCTGGAAAAAAACAAAGATGGTGTGGCTTCAAATCATGGAGGGGCAGGGGACCTTCCGGCTCGATGTCTCTGGCCTCCTGTAAACGCGATCCTTCATGCCAGGGCTTCACATTGTTCTCGAACTCGGTGATCCCGGCGCGTGCGCATCCTCCAGTAAGCGATCCCGACTGGGGAGCGGGTGCCCCCAATGCGAGTACAGCCCCGAAGAAACACGGAACATCATCTCATCCATGCATCCATCCATCCAGCCGTCCTTCCATCCTTCTGACAGTCCTTCCATCCTTCCGTCCATGCATCCATTCAATCATACATGCATGCATACAGAGAGAAGTGCAAGCATCATGCCAGCATGCTTGCAGCACACCCTAAATCCTAAACCCCTAAACCCTATAAACCCTAAACCCCTAAACCCTATACACCCTGAACCCCTGAATCCTAAACCCTAAGCCCCTAAACCCCCAACCCCTAAACGCTAAACCCTGAACACTAAACCCCTAAACCCCTTCCACATCACAGATTAAAGCCCTAAACCCTGAACAATCCGTAGAGCTCTCGCTGGCTTCCCTCGAGGTTCCGCCGGTGACGCCCATGGGGCTACCAGCACAGAGCCAGGCCCTTCGACATTAGGGTTTAGGGGTGTACGGGTTAGGGTTTAGGAATTATTTCCTGGCTATTTTATATGATCCTAACTACAAGAACGGTTTATATGTGTAACCAACAAACGGAACTGCAATGGAGACTATATAGGTAGTCTGGGAATAAGCTCCACAGGGTCGTACAAGGAGTTTGAAGGCTTTTCCAGGTTTGGGGTCTGGGTTTGGTGGTACACTCGATTTTGGATGCCCGGTGTTATCAGCGTCTTCATTTATAACCTGACAATGCATTTCCACAGAAAACGGGGCTCTATTGCAGGCTTGGGGATTTCGCCATGCGGGGCAGGGTACCTGCTGCCTAGGCGAGAAAGGGCTTAGGGATTCATCGTGAACACTCGGATCTGCAGCGATGGAGGTGCTCATGCATATGAACGTTCAGAGTACTTGACAGGTTGTAGACGGCACCATGTGGTAGTTGTAGTTTCGCAGCGCGACTCACGCTACCACACATACATGCAGTTCATCTTCTCGTCAGCATGCAAGCTAAAGTCGTGAACAAGTATGTAGGAGGAATTCTGCTCCGACCATTCCCTCACAGTCCTTTCTGGAGGACAGGCATTCTCATGTCTGCGAAGCTTTGGATGATAATAGAGGGGCCTAAATAATTACCAGTACTATTCTGGGAGTTGCTTATTATCCTTATAGTATAAGACACCGCACAACCCCAGTCTAACTATGGAGGCCCCTATATTATGGAGCCCTAGTAGACCCCTTTTTAACGGAACCCTTTACAGGAACTCTATTCAAGCCCGAAGGGTCCTATGTACTGTTATGGGGGCTACTTCCCTGGTACATTCTACTATACAGGTACTTTGGACCCTTTGGGAAGTATTACTGAGGCCCCAAACCCTAAACCCTAAACCGCAAACCCCAAACCCTAAACCCCAAACCCTGAACCCTAAACCCTAAACCCAAAACCCCAAACCCTAAACCCTAAACCCTAAACCCCAAACCCTAAACCCTAAACCCCAAACCCTAAACCCCAAACCCTAAACCCTAAACCCTACCCCTAAACCCAAACCCTAAACCCTAAACCCTGCCGCTAAACCCTACCGCTAGATTGCAGCCAGGTCGGTCCTGGTTTGGCGGGCTACCGCTGGGCCCTTCGCGATGGAAGCCTTATCGGACCTGGCATAGGCCGGATTTTTCCCAGACCCCCCCCCCCGGGAGGAGCTAGAATAGTAGGGTTGAGGGGTTTAGGGGTTTAGGGTTTGGGGTTTAGGGTTTAGGGGGTTTAGGGGTTTGGGGTTTAGGGGTTTAGGGTTTAGGGGTTTGGGGTTTAGGGATTTAGGGGTTTAGGGGTTTAGGGTTTAGGATCTAGAAAGTAGATCCCCTAATTTGGGGCCCTATACTACTAAGGGTACTTTATAGGAACCCCCATTAAGAGATTTACTTTTTGGATCCTTCCGGGGGTCTGGGTCGGGAGTATCTACAGTAGCCCTAAGCCCCTAAACCCTAAACCCTCCACTAGCCTGCAACGGGGCACAGTAAAACCCCAGAAGTTGGAAACCCAATAGCCAACCCTCAAGAGTAATGTAATAGGGAATCCCAACACTCTTTGGCCTTAATCCGGTTTCCATGCGATTTTAATTAGGGTTTAGGTTTCCTCAAGGGTCCAAGTACCGAAATAGTAGGATTTCAATGTCCAAAAGCCACTCCGAGTATGGGTTTTAGGGCCTGACTACTATTTGGGTGCTTGGACCCTCTGGGTGTTGCAGGGTAATGGAGGATTGTTACTTATTTCTGTCTAGAGCTTTTGGGGGTTTTGCTGTTGTGTTGTAGGGCTGGTTTCAGGTTTAGGGACCATGGGGTCTGAACGACTGCCCCCGGTTGCAAAGAGAATGCTTCAACAACATCCGAAAACCTCAACGCCGAACCCTAAGCAAAAATCCTGGCTACCGCTCCTGGCACGGAACCCTAGGCCCTAGTCTCGAGGACTCTCCCTTGACGCCCTTTCGGAAAGCCAAGTACCTCTTAACTTACATTGACCGGATGGTCCTCCATTGTGTTCAGGATTTGAAAGGTTCGGGCTTAGCGATCTTGTTGTGGCTGCGGTGATATTCGATTCCATAATCATTAATAAATCCCCCAACCTGAATTTTCCTCAAAGAATCTCAAGTCGGACCCCGTCGCTGCACATTTTTCATATGAGATTGTTGAAAATAAAGTTATCCTTGCAATTAGCAACGGCAAATTCATGGGTCTGTACCAATATTGTAGGGTTCCGTGTATGCCCAAAGACATTACATGACCGTACACCTACCCCCCCAACCTTCAAGGTGCTTAAAACTCAGTGTTTCCTGGATGAGGTTTATTCGCTTCGGGTCTAGAGGTTTGGAGTTTAGGGCTTTTATACCAAAGGTTGGCCGGAGATCCCCAAAGGTCCAATTCAACTACCATATGCTAGCACCCAGATCAAATACAAAGCCCTTTTCGTACCCTGTTCTGATCCTCATGAACGGATCGCAGGGGAGGGTCATTAGTAATCAGTAGCCCGCTAAACTCATTGCGGAGGGCAGGGGAGTAGTTACTCAGAATCAGGAGCACAGTGTCCCTTACCCAAATAGTAGCACCCAACAGGCGCCTGGACCGTCTCGCGGCCTTCCTGAAGGAGCATGCCCTTGCGTATGCCGCCATCCCTGCACCCGGGGAGATGCTAGTGCACCCGCACAACCGGGGCGGTGCGATGTTGAGTGCTCTCGATGTTCACGATGAAAATCAAAGAACTGGGCTTTCGCCGAGCCCTACTGACCGACAGCATCTGCTTTGAGCTCAATCCTCTTCCAGAGAAGAGAAAGGCTCAGCTTGCGGCCAACGAACAGTTGGCGGCAAAAAGCGCTGGAATGCTGGCCTCTGTCGCAGGCACCGAGCGATTCATGACATGCTCGTCGTCCCATACGACAGCATATCTGAAAGCTTGCATGCACAAATGCAAGATGCCTGCAGGATCCGGTGTGCTCAACCTTGAAGCTGACGCTATGAAAGATGTATGCAGCAAAGGTTGGCAATGGCTCGTGATCAGCTCGAAAGCTGAGCACCTCGTGCCACGTTGCCTCCAAAAACCATGCAGAGTATGGATTTTAGGACCTAAAACCCTACTAGTTGGGTAATTACTCGGACCCTCTGGGGGTGGTAGCAGCTCGCCTGTCCCCCCAACAGGCAGGAATTCCCAGCCGTCGCCTAATTCCTTTCGAGCATCCGCCTACATACTTGTCGACGCAAACGGTCTCCCATGAAGGGGCTTATGGGTCGCCATGCATGACCCCAAAGGGTCCTATGTACTGTTCTGGGGGATACTTCCCTGGATCATAATAGTAATTCCTAATACAGAAACCCTACATTCTACCATACAGGTACTTAGGACCCTTTGGGGACGTGTTCTGTTTGAGACCTCGAGTCCCCCAAAGTAGTCCCTGTGACCCATACCCTACCAAGAATGAGGGAGACCTTGGAGAAGCCCTGAAACCTTAAACACCTAAGTGCATTACTTATTTAGGGTAGCATGTTTTGTGGTTAGGACCTGTTGTACAGAAAATTCGGTATCCCACCTTAGGCAAGTAACGGCCCATACCCTGCTAGCCCTTCCCTATGCTGAAAGAAGGCACTTGGAAGCTGTCACCTGCAGAAGCTACTGCCAGCGTAGCTGCTGCCTTGGCATCAGGCCGGACCGTATGCTGAAAGGTCTGAAATATTGCGGGTGTAGGGTTTACGGCACTTTAGGGGGGATACAGTAAAATCAAAACATCGGCACATGGCTGCAATCTCCGAGGAACACTCAAACAGAAAGCAACACAACAGTCAACAACAATTCAAAACAGCCGAAGCCAAAACCAACCCCACAATTGGCATTCAAGCCACAGTGAGTCCTATCCGACTAGCCATGTGATGTGTAATTGATTGTTACTTCTTTGTGCTTCGAATTTTAAGTAATTGGTGTTCGATGTTTTTTGCGCCGTTACAACCGAGTCTTGATAAGGGGGCCTTGTTAATTGGAACAGGATTTGGCGGCCCATTATACTATACAAACAGGAACGCCCAAAATAGTTTGGGCAATCATTTGGGCCCTGAGTTAGTCGATTCACAATCTGGCCTGAGATCTCCTGTCCTCTTCGAGCATCGAGGACCACAACTGGTTTTCTTGGGGGTACTTAGAAATATTATGAAATTGCTGGTTCCTGCAACCCCTATAAGAATCAGTGAAACTTACAATGTTGGCTAGGGGTCTAAGGTCAGTATATAGTTAGGTTCCTTTACAGAACTCCAGAAAGTTGGAATATGGATTAATGGTAGGATCCCCTATAATTTACCTTAAAGGGGTTACGATAATGATCTTCCAACTTTCTGGCTTCTACTGTATGGCGTGGGTCTTGAAGCCGGGGTCAGCTTTGGAGTTTAGAAGCGTAGGGTTGTCTTCGAAGAGCTTAGAGGTATGGAGGGTTTTGGTTTAGGGTAAGCCCAGATCCTGAAGTCTTCAAGCCCTATAGGTCCTATAATCGCCTTAGCCCAACCTCAAACTCTTGCTTTGTTACCTCCGAAGCAAGCACTTCTGAGATCTGGCCTCTGGGAACATCAGCCTCTAGGCATAAGGGATTGAAAGGAGGCTTGCATTCCCTTGCACCCAAGGTTCCCGAAACTAGAGTCACAGCCTGAATCTCGACGTTCCACGTTGGCCCAAAACCCTTAAACCTTTGGGTCCTTCGGATCCTCAGACTTCTCGTTTATAGGGTTTTAGGGTTTACCTTTTTGAGGACTTATATAAAGAATTCAGAATAAGGAACACTGGGCCCTTAAAATCGGCAGAGGCATTCGGCATGTGGATACGGCCGCAGAGTACAACACCGAAGCTGCGGTCGCCGAAGGCGAAGCCCAGAGAGCCCAAAACCCCTTAATTAAGGAATATGCCTTAAATTATGAGGGGTTTAATATAAGGATTTAAGCTATATTCCTTTATAAATGAGTGTTGAGCCAAATACCCCTTAAATAAGGAATATACCTTAAACTATGAGGGCTGAATATTATGATTTAAGCTATACATACTCTTTTATAAATGGGTATTGGGCCCTCTGGGAGCAAGCTGTTTTGGTGGGGCCTGAACAATTAGAAGCGGGTTGGGGATCTCATGGGTTCTTAAGCTGGCTAGGAGGAGATACTGTTGATGATATAAATCCTGCATGACCCATAATAAGGAATATACCATAATTCCCATAGTTTTGGGTCCTTAAGGTGATGCAGGATTTATATCATCAACAGTAGTATAGCAAGTTTCACCACCTCTACTCCAGGGCGTCCAAGTATCTAGACCCTGTATGGTAGTTCTCTTCCGCATATGGATAGCTAGCGATTTGGCTAGTTAGGCCACCCGATGTTTCAGACATTCCCTGTCTTCAGTTCGAAGGATGCTACAATTGTTTCGGGACCCTCCTTGTGCCCTCAAATCCGGGTATATGGCCCCAAATAATGGGCATTTAGGGTCTACTAGAGGGTAGATGGAGGGTCTAGGTTGAGAGGCGTCAAAAGCCAACCCACGGTTGATGATATAAATCCTGCATTACCCATACTAATAAGAAATATCCCATAATTCCCTTAGTTTAGGGTCATTAAGGTAATGCAGGAGTTCCGAGGGCCGCTAGTCCACAGCCGGTCTCTCCCTCTCTCTAGGCATGCAGATGGCATGCAGGAGCTATCTATCTATCTATCTATATATCTATATTCATATTCATTTATTCATATTTATATGTGTGTGTATATATATATATGTATATATATGTGTGTATATATATATATATATATATATATATATATGTCTTCGCTGGTAGGATGTTGTGTGTTTTCTATCCCGAACTGTTTAGGATTTATTGGAGCTTCATAGACTCCAGCCTACAGCCTAAAGCCTTGCAGAACTGTTGGGGATTGATTTCTGCAGCAGCGGCTTACTTGCCTGCTGGCTTAGATCTTGGACGCTCCAACTCTCTGCTTGAAAATGTCGGGGATTTGGGATTTAAGGGGCCCTTAAATAAACCCATAAACCCTTAAACTACAGAAGGTTTTTGGTGTAAGTCTTCGAGTTTAGAGGTCTATAGGGTTTAGTGTTCAGAGTTGCCTGGTGAAGGGCTTGGGAACCACAGCGCCTCAAGTACTTGGTTTAGGGCTACTGTAGTTCGCTGAACCACGTCCCAATTCCCAATGGCCAATCTGAAATTGAAATCTCGAATCCCGAACCCTTAATCCTTAACCGTCCTTACTCAACCCCGAACCCTTATCCCACTGGACATTCCTCGAACCCTAAAGCCTAGATTGAATACATTGGTACCTTATGCTAAGCAGGTCGGAATAGTCTGCCCACGTATCCCTCATAGTTCCTGATTCAATCATAGCATCGTGAACTCCACGACATTATTCTCACTGGTAAATCCTTTGGCCTTCAGGTGCCCCCTTCTCTATTTGCATGCGTATAAATACATATATAGAGAGAGAGAGAGAGAGAGAGAGAGAGAGAGAGACAGAGAGACAGAGAGACAGAGAGACAGAGAGACAGAGAGACGGAGAGACAGAGAGACAGAGAGACAGAGAGACGGAGGGAGAGAGGTACTTCAGGGCAAAGTATATATGGGCACTTGGACCCTTAGGGTTAAAGCCGTGTTTTGCACCAAAGCTGCGTCTTGAAGCCGAAGGCATCAGTCGGCACGAGTCCTTTAAGGGTTCCTTTGTGGCTGCTTTGTCGACCCAAAGCAAAGGGCCTGGCTGGTTTAGGGTTTAGGGTGCTCAGGCGACCCAAAGTAAAGGTCCTCAATGCCCTCCTGGTCCCTATGCAGCAAGAGTAGCGATTAATGTATCTCGAGAGCCTTACGTATTCTAATAAGTAAGGCCCCGGCACCTAATTTAATTGAGCCTTGCGCAGTTCAAAGTTTGTTATTCCCACTCCTCTGGGCTTCCGTAAACCTCAAATTTTCAACCCACCATCGAACAAGCCGTGGCCCCTAAAGCCTGACAGGCTTCACCATATGCCAAAAGGACGAACCGAAAGCCGTAAGCCTTAAACCGTAAACCCTCGGCGATGCGCGGTGAGGGATCCAGAAAGCTGGAGTTCCCAGGGAGGAAGTCTTCGTGAACGTGAAGGCCCCGCGGGGGTTGGCAGATGGCATTCAGGGAGTACTATGGAACCCCTTAGAGGCCTCAATAATTACCAATGCCATTTCCCTAAAACCCGAGTACGTGGAAGCTATACAGGTCCATTCTCACAGTTCCTACCAAGCATCAGCACGTTGGTTCAGGTTTTGGGCTTATGCCGAAGCCCTAGGGGTCCAAGTACCCAAATAGTAGGCTTTCAAAGTCCAAAAAACACTCTAAACGTCCAAGTGCCCAAATAGTAGGGTTTCAAAGTCCAAAAAACCTTTCAGAGTATGGGTTTTTGGGACTTAAAACCCTACCATTTGGGTACTCGGATCCTCTGGGGAAGGATTGTCAACCCTACACTGCCCTACAACCAAGTCTCGCAGTTGCAGCTCAAACTTTCCTAAACCCTAAACTTACACCCCCCAAAATCCCAAACCCTAAACTCCTAAACCCTAAACCCTCAGCTCCTAAGACCCACAAAGCCTGAAATTGCGCTACATCCTGAACCCTTGAGCTTTCCTTAGCAGAAACTCCTAGCGATGGTTTGGAACAGCCAACTTAGGCCGTGTCTTGGATGCCGATGTATGCAGGTCATCTGTCCTAGAGTGCCAAGAGAAGACGGCCCAGGATTTCACAAGATTGGAATCGGAGAGTCTTTTCGGAAAGGTTCCCAACAGGAGCCAACACAGACAACATCGACAAATCATGTTGTCGTTGCATGGAGATCCCCGAAGTGTATTCATAGGCCGAGCCGCAACGTGCGCTCAATGGTAGCTCGTGCGCCCAAGACGCTTTATTGGGTGAATAGTTAGTTGTCAGTTTATATTTATATGGTTTAAAGTTAATAAAGTTCACAACGCCGAGAAGCTTTGTCAAAGCTTCTCGGCGACCGTTGCCAAGAGGGAGCGCGTTGGCTACCAATTTTTGGAAGAGGAAAGGTTAATGTAGCTGCGGCATATAGCCATATAACAAGAACTCACAAAGGTCATGAGGTTCGTGAAGCTTGTCTTAGTAAGCCGTACAGGAGACGCTGGCCGAGCCTGGCAACGCAACCCGCACTCCTGATCCTCAAACTTTACGCGAAATTCTATCTGAAGCATGAAACTATCCAAGCTTACATCGGAACCCTGTTTTGGACGTCTGAGTCTGAATGCATAGACATAGTGGGTACTGCTGTCCCGTATAATCCCCACGTAGTCAACCTATGTTTCAGTCCCAAAGCCCTATTCTGATTATGATTATTCAGGCCCCTATATCAAGGCCCCCAAAGCCTGCGTGTGCGAAAGGTGGCAGCAGATTCTGCAGAGGACATTCGGGCGCAGATCGACATCTCCATGTCCAAATGGGGTGCACCACTTGGTTTGGCTGGTGTTGAGGGTTTCGGGTTTAGGGTTGTTGAGGGGCATCTTTTCGGATTTTTAGGTTGTACCTGAAACTCCTAACATACACATTTCAAGGCCCTGCGCCCAAGATTATCTTACATATGGATCGTGGGCTAGCATGTAGCGTGTCACAGAGTGGGCTTAGTCTAGTTGTTTTGTGTGCTTAGTTTGTGTGCCGGCATCATAGACTCTCATAGACCCTGAAAGTGCCTTGTGCTTTTTGGAATTGGGTCTGCCAATAAGGACTCGGGGCAGTTTTTGTGGCTGTTGCAGATTTTCAAACTCACTCTTCGCATCACGATGTATGAGTTGTAGCTGAAAGGCCTTTGAAAGACTTGGATGCGTTGTGTTTCGTTTCGGTGAGTTTGCACAGAAATCAAAGCTTGATCGTGCTTCAGTGTTGTGCGACTGCGTGGTTACACGGAGCGATGTTGAACGAGCGATCGAAATCAGAAGTGATCCTCCTGCACCCTCATACAGTAAACCCCACAAAGTTGGAAACTGGATTAAGGCCAAACAGTGCTGGGATTCCCTAGACATTACTCTTAAGGATTGGGGCTAGTGGGTTTCCAAGTTTTGGGGTTTTTACTGTAAGCCGGATAGTACTGGGGAGATCTTCATCCGGGTCTCCAAGTGGGCCCTTGTCCTTTTTTGAGTTCCATATGGGTGGTTGTCAAAACTGGGGTCCCGTTTGGGCACCCTAAATATTGCGTGTATAGGGAACTAAAAAGGGATCATCATGTTGACAACCACCCACATATTTCACTATGCTCCAGATCCGAGAAGTAGAACTCCAGTTTCCAGTATTCAAGGTGACATACCCTACACCAAAGACGAGTCAAACTGAGACCTAGACCCTAAACCTCTGCCACATAGGTACCTGGGCTACTAGGCCCAAAACTGCATTCCTCAATGTAAGCCACAGAATTTTGAAACATATCCGCCGAAGAAGGACTACAGTCGGGATCACATGCTCCAGGCCTTTCACAAAGGGGGCTTGTTCATCAGCAGCTACAGATCCCATAATAAGAAAGGAATCTGACCAGTCGTAGTATGGCCTGAGAATCCTTGTACAGCTAAAGTGGGACCTACTCTTGCTAGGGTTTAGGGTTTAAGGTATGCGCCATGTCCACTCCTTTCGTTACTCAGGCTCAAACCGCATGTTCCCTACTTCTCCTACAACTCGGAAGCAGTGTAAAACACCTGGGAGAGTGATGCAAAGCCGCCGGCAAGAGTTATGGATCCCGGCTGTGACCTGAAAGCACCCCGAACCCTCAACCCTAAACGCTTTAAGGCCTTGACTGTACGCAAGATCTTTGCCCTTGGCCATGCCATGACACGCGACACTCTGGCCAAACAAGCTCCGCAGCTCAGGATTTATGGTTTGGGCTGTACGGCTTGTCGAGTACGGTTTTGGGATTGGTGGAGGTTTGTGCTGCCTGGTCTGTTTGGCAGCAGTCTTTGCAATTGTGGAAGTTTTCGGTTTTGAAAGGCACTGCAGATCATAGTCCGAAATCTTTAACCCGAATGGCGCTTTCTTGAAGGGTCGTGAGACTTCATGATTAAGCTCATAGGTTTCTTAAAGGGTCTGGGGTAAAGCCGAAACGTGTATTCAGACAGGGTTCGCGACAAAGAGGACCCCTGCATGAACGCCTGCTGACGGCACTTCATCAGGGATCCTACTAGTTGTAGTCCTGAGAGAAGTTGTTTTATTACCAGGGTCTAGCATACACGTCAGCAGTAATGTCCCCCCTAGCCCTCACAGTACAAATAGAACTATGCTGCACTCGGCCCTAACCGTGTAATGCCCTATAGCACCGCTGTAAAGACCGCTGAAGCATCATCCTACTTGTTATTCAGGCCCCTACATGGATCTTGATTCCTGCAAACCATGCAACCCAAATCTGAAGTCTTATAAACCCCACCTGGACCCGAAGAAGCCTAGGCTTTCAGGCTTCCTAATTTCTATTTCCGTACAATGCATAAGTCCTTAAAACGGTAGGTTATTTACCCAGGTTGCCGTTTCGCTGCTGGCAAGCGCCGTGGCTGTGGCAGCCGCTGGGATGTTTACACACCCAAGAAGCACGTAACCTCTCAAACCCTAGAGCTCAGGGCTCATTCATTCGGGTGGTTGCCAAAATTAGGGTCCCTTTTTGGGTGCCTATTATAATACGGCACCTAGTATTTAGGGTACCCAAAAAGGGACCCTAATTTTGACAACTACCCACTCTTCACAGTTACTATATTACATGGGTAGCTGGGATTAATGATTGGAACCCTAATTTCACGAACACGAAAGTCTATTTTCCTGTTTCCTTCAGAGAGCCCAAGAATTTCCTCGTAAGCTGTATCTTCCTGAAATAGATATGAAGAAGCCCTACGTAGTCTCTTGAAAGACTTGGGTGACGGAGTACGCCCTGTGGATACTGTGCACAGATAGAAATCGAAGGCCGACATCCTCACTCAAGCTTTGCAGTAGGGTCACCAGAAGCCACCACACTTTGCATGACAACTAGACCCAACATAGATCGTCAGTCATTTCTATTCCTATACGTATAGATATATACCGGTATGGATCTCAAACCCTATTCGGAACGACTTTCAGAACATCCAATATGCTTCAAGCTCGCAGCCCTCAGCCGCCCGTCATGAAGCACGGAGGTGTCCCTGTCCCTAGTAAGTCAGGGTAGGTAAGCCCGGGTTTTCCAGTGTACCGAAAGGTTCGTGTTCCGCTCAGATTTGGGGCCGGGGTTGAGGCCCTCGAATTCTTTCAATAACACTGGACCTGGGCATTTGACCTCCGCTGTCGCTATTTTCGCAGCATACCGGGAAGTACGGCGCTTGCAATCTCAACATCGCCGAGACGCGGTGATGACGAATCCGAATCTTCTTGTGCAGAGATTAAGTTCTGGCGGTGCGAGTTGCAGAGTCTGGACCTGGAATTCGCTTTTTGCCCTCTGCGACGTGACTCGAGACACTGGTCCCCACCTAATTAAACTTTGATGCTGAACAGGAACCTCTTCTTGGATTGGGAGCAGGGGGCGTATGTCTATGTACCACAAAGCGTCTCGCTCCAGAACACAGAGAGAAACGCTTTCGCCGCTGCCGGGAATACTTCGTTTCCCGGAAGTACCTCTCGTATGGCTGCGGCCCGGACTTCCTTGAGTATCTTAACACCAGATGCCCGGACCTGACGCAGGCTTCGGGCTTGCCGGTGTTTGCACCTCTAGTGCGGAGGCCTAGATAATTTCCAACACTATGTTTCCGGTTCCTTCTAACAAACCTGTCATAATATAAGCCCCAAGGGAGCACAGGGTGAATAGTCAAATCATAGAGCCCTTCTAAGCCCGTAAGCCCTCGACACCACGGCGCCTCAGCTGCAACCTGCATCAGCTCTTTATCTGGCACTGCGAAACCCAAACCCGGTTCGTCCGGGCTTCGAGGTTTAGGATGTACCTTTGTACTTTCAGCATCAAAAGCCGAGCCTTAAGGGCTCGCTCCTCCCTTAGGCCCTTAGAACCCTAGCCCTTAAATCACTGAGCCTTAAAACCCTTAAGCCCCTAAACCAGTAGACCCGAAGCCCTAAACCCGTACTTCCTAAACCCGAAGCCCTTGAACCCCCTAAACAGAGCCCCGAACCGCTAAACCCGAAACCCTTAAACACCCCAAACCCAAACCCTCAACCCCCTACACCCCACAACCCTCGCTTTGGTACTGCGTGGGGCCTGATCTGTGAACTCCCCTCACTTCGTGCCAAGGCGATCATCCGAGGGAAGCAGCTCCTCTCTGAGGCCCGGCGAATGTAGAGAGGGTTTAATTCAGGGCTGGGGTTTCTGGGTCCAGGGGTACAGATTTAGGGCTTGGGAACCTGGCTAGTAGTATAGAGGTTGAATAATTACCGGCACTATCCCTTAGGGCCGCAGGGTTCTGGAGTACGATTACACCATGGTGGACAAAGTCTCAAGGTCCCCAATGAAGGTCAGTGATGATATCTCCTGCCATCCCTATATGTTTTGCTATATACCCAGAGACGATTATCGGTCGAACGTAGAGCCCGGAATAATTATCACATTGTAAGGTACCCCCCCCCCCCCCCCCGCAACCCCATTCTGATTATTCAGGCCCCCTGCATTATGCATGTCTGGGTCGAGTGCATGGAAGTACGCACGGATCGCAGTCAGCCCTTTGTAATGTAGGGCTGTAGGGCCCGTGGGTCTAAGGGCTTTCAGAGAAGTCCAGGTATACCACGAAATCTTAAACCCTAAACCATAAGCCCTAGCCTCTTCTGTGGACTCAAGGTACAGGAGATGCATGTGAACTTTCGCGCAAGTTGTAAGTTGGGGCATTTGTTCAATACATGCGTAGTTTAGTTTACAAAAAGCCAAAAAGGTTTACTAGGCATGCTTCCTTAGTGATCCAAGAGGGCTGTAGCCATTGTACCGCAAGATCGAAATAAGTGCTAGAACCCAGCAACTCAGTTGGGAACCAGCCCTGGAGCAAAGCTTTCTGGATGAGGAGTTGAGGCTAAGATCCTAAACCTTAAGCAGAAAGGGTTCTCAGGGTCTGCCCGATGCCACCCAAACCTGATTCCGAGGCCACAAATCATAACAACCTTTTGCCTGAACCAGAAATCTCAAACCCGACAACCCGAAATTCCACAGATCTAAAACCCTGCACCGTCAAACCGAGCCAAGCCGTTGCCACCAGAAGAAGCGGCGCACTTCACCTCTCTCGTCGAGCAGCCGCTATGCCAAGGAAGCCAAGGCCGGTACTTCGCTTAGGATTCGGGTTTCAGGGGCTTAGGGTTTAGGGATTAGGGTTCAGGTTCAGGACTCAGGCCGGCCTTATACCGGGGGTTGTACCTACAGGCCCCAGTCGGTCGTTCCTTGTAGTTGACCTGCATTGCAAGCATTGCATGTACCTGTGTCCAGAACTAAAGTAGTAATAATGGGATGCAACCTTTAG